GTAATTTACTTCCCCGTGCTTCCGTGCCTATCACCCTGAATTACATGGAGTCAAAGAGTCCGCCTTTAGATGTTGCGTCCCACCGAGCTTGCAATATTTGAACTAGGGCTGCTCGCTCTTCTGAATCTTCCTGAATCCTTTCTTCGCTCGCGCCTTCTTCCTTGGCGTTGCTGATAACTAGGAGCCCCTTTAGTCTGAAAACCGATGCGCAGTCGCCAACGGCAAAATATTTAAAAGCTCCACATTTGTCAGCAAAAACCTTTGGCTACTTCTGGGGTCGCCCACATTTAGAATCATTTTCAACAGAGAGCTGCTACTTTTCAATGCTTTTTTAATCAAATACTCAGTGTGGAGTTAAATATTCTCCATGGCGGAATTTGCTTTCCTTTCTATGTCCATTAAATACTTAGCGCTCAAGTAATAAGAGAGGTAAAACCGCCAGACCGCTTCGTTTGCTCGTCCCACTTGCAGATTAATCATGACTTGACACCAATCACTGTTCACACAGTTCAAAATAGGGAACCGGTTTTTTCAAATTGCAATTTTTCGAATAACTCGAAAACCGGTTTTGGAAAAAAGACGAATAATCGCACATGCTAGTTAACACGTTTCAACTTGTTCTCCAACATCACCCTGTCGGTCAAACGGTTGGAGCGTGTATACTTTGCATTATAAATGATCGTCATGAATATACCAAGTCTTGCATATATATGTGCATTAGGGTAGTCCAAAAGAGTACAGTCGGGGTTTTAATGCCTTCACCCCCTCGGATTGTTCTATACCGAAAAAACGTATACCCCTGTTTTTTTTATTTTGAAACCAAAAAATGTTTAGAGGCCGCTCAAAGCGCTCAAAATTTTCCATAGTAATACCCGATTGTTTATACTAACGATTTTTATTGGTCCCCCCATTGCATTTTTTGCGGTTTTTGGGGGTTTTTGGCGGGCCTATAAATTATAGTTACTATGAAAAACTGGGAATCTCCTGTAGGGAACAGAGTTTTCCGATCGGAAAATATTGACTTCTAAAAATTCTATACCATTTCTACGAAAAGTTGTTTTTTTTCTCATATAAAATATATTGAAAACTTTGAGCGCTTTGAGCACTCCCAAAATTTTTTTATTTCAAAATAAAAAATAGGGGTATATTTTTTTCGGAAAAAAAGAATTCTAGGGGTAGGAGCTTAAAAAATTCCTAGTTTACGTTTTCACATGCACTTTTCGACCACCCTAAAGTACATGCTATACATATGTATTTACATGTGTATATGTACATATCTACATATATGCAGATAAGCATAAAAACATAAGGCTAAAATAAAAGAAACAAAACCTTAACTAAAAAACAGAATATTTTGAATCACCAGCAGCCAGACTAAAGAGTACGAACAACAGCACAAGCAGATGGAGCCGCTGAGAAAAAAAAACGAAAAACGAAAAATGAAAAACAATTTCTACGGAACTCCATAAAGCGCACTTGTGTAAATTTAACCTTGAAATAGATTTTTAACCTTTTTGTTTTCGTTTTAATATTTGTGCTTAATTTGTTTGTTTTTGTTTTATATTTTTCTTTCTCTCGCATTGCTCACACACATCTCATTTTTGCTGTTTAAAATAATGTTGCGCTTCATTCGCGTTCTCATCGCCACAGTCCGTACGTACGTTTTCATTCACTTATTCAGCGCTCCAACGGCTGTCCCCATTTAAGGCAATAGCCATGCGAAAAGGTGGGTGTGTATATGTGAGCGGCATTCCGGTCCGACAATCCACTCACACTTTAAAGCAGTGTTGCCAAGTTTTGAATTAGAAACGGCACTAAAACCCAAGAAAAATCGCGTTTTTTCTCGAAAAAGGCGCCGAAGTTTTATTAGAGTATTTAATGCATTTTGCAGAAAAAAAAATTTATTGTAGGGATGCCCATTCAAATTAATAAAAATCAATGTTTCTTGCTCGACGATCGAATTTTGATTTAAAATTTGATTTCGCTTTTAATGAATCATATTTGAGCGTATTATCTACTGGCGCGTTGTGGAAAAAATATTTTTGTGTCAAAAAAGTTGTCTTCTCTTCAACCCCCACCCAATTTCGATTACATTTTTGTTTTTCAAAGGGTTCGTTAGATATTAATTTTACTGTTTGGGGATACTGCTACTTTTTTGAATAGTCGTAAAAGATATAACAATAATTCTGACAAGATTGAAAGTGCTGCCACATATTTTGTTGGCGAACATATGCTCATTTTGTAAAGTTGCTTACAAAACTTACGAATGCTATAAATTTTTCTGCCCCCTGTTTTTTAGGGTTTACAGATTTGGTGTCTTCAAACTAAAAACAAAATCACCAAAAAACGCACCAAGCACTAAACTCAAACATTTTCGCGTTTTGAATAATGAAAAGCACTAAATTTAGTTCGAAGAGCACCAAGTTGGCAAGAATGCTTTAAAGCTCAACTTGTTTTTCTGGGCTCTCCGGCACACTGTGCGAGCAGATGCTCCACGCCGATTATTTTCGCTATCGTTGCCGCTGTGGTCGGCGTCAGCATCCGCCGCTATGACCGGCAGTAACTAAACGATCAGCAGCCGGCATTTGATGCCGATACATAAAAGCAGTTGTTTCTGCAATGCTTTGTGACTCTCTTTTACTTAAAAATAAAAATATTTTTACAAAAAAAAAAGAAAAAAGATAAACAATTGAAATCCACGCTTGAGAAATGAGTACGCCTAAACGTTTGAAGGCAGATTCGAGAAGAAAAACCAACGCAAAATCGAGGTGAAGTCTTACAGTAATTTGAATCGAAGATTTTAGGCTGTTATTAGAATTGATGAAGAGGATTGGAATTCTCAACGAAAAATTTATTTCGTTTTAAACAGTAAATTTTTAAAATTTCTCAGAAAAATAAAAGTTGCTTGAAAGTTGCGGCCAACCATATCATTACTCGTTTCGAAAGTAGCTTTTTTTAAGTTTCTACCTGTACCATCGGCGTAGCCAGAATGAAATTTAGGGGGGGGGCTCGACCCTATTAAGCTGGTATTTCATGGTACTTTTTTTATATATATATAAGGAAAATTTGAAAGTTAGGGGGGGGGAGGGGCTCGAGCTACGCCCATGACCTGTACCTCTTTGATAGATCACAAAGGGTAATGTGGCGTCATTGATGCTACTTCAGGTGTCCCTCAAGGTAGCCACCTAGGCCCGGTACTGTTTTTTCTTTTTATAAACGATATTTCTGCAGATATCAAAATAAAAAAATGCTGATCATTAATTGCGATATTTGATAAAAAGATATTGTATTTGAAAACAGCATATAACGTCACCTGAAATACAAAAAGACGTAACAAACATCATCGCTGATATGCAAAAAGTCACAACTAATAAAAAATGCTTTCATCGAATTACAACTCCCAACATCATTTAATGAAAAAAACTTAAAATATTAGTCACGACTTTTTTCATTTCATTTACAATGTCTTTTTACATTTCAGGTGACGATATACACGACCGCGCAAAAGTCATCGCCCTGTCGATATCAAAATATTTTGTATCTGTTTATTTCATATATGTCAAAGCATAATTAACATTTTCCGACACCACTCCTTTACCCATTAAATGGTTTTTCCTACACAATTAAATTTTACTTACCATAAAATTAAGTTTCCTCAAATCGTATAAAAATTAATAACAAATCGACAAGGTTTATAAAAAATTATAATTTTCTTGTATGTATGCGAGCCGACCCGGTCTAATGTTTATAATACATACTTGTGTACAAGCGTATACACTCGTGCACTTTATACACTGAAATAAGATTAAATAAATAAACAATGTAAGAAATGAGATAGAAGGTAATAAAAACTGGGTTTTTTTTATGTGCAGACGAGTAGTTACTACACATTTACATTTTTAATACGCACATGTTGTACATAGTATATATGTACATATGTGCATATACATCTACATAATTTACTATGCGTATCTAGGTATGTAAATACATATGTACATACGAGTATGAGCTATATGAAAAGTTTACCATTATCACTCACTAGCCAACAGACATACATACATATACATATATATATGTATTTACACACGTGGAAACATTTACATATGTATGTAGGTAAATTTATAGATTTATTTTTAAATTTCTGCGTAATTGTTGTCATTTCATATCGAAAAGTAGCACAATCCTAAAACCCGAATAATGGTTCACACTGAAGCATAAAGAAACTCGTAAAAGAATTATATGAAAATGTGCATACATACATATGCATGTTCGAAAAAAGAGGAATAAAACGAGAAACAAGTAGGCAAAAATGTTGTACAAATTCAGTCGTAGCCCAGTTTTGTACATCTATTAACTATATCTGGGGTCGCTTTTATAAATTTGTGCACATTCAGACACATCGCTTCACTTGAATAGGTACATATGTATATTTTTCATCTTCAAGAACCAAGCTCATGCAATATCTTGTCGACATCGCAAGAGCTTTGATTTAGATAATCTCAATTTGGAGGATGATCAATTTTAAATGGAAGTGGCTGGGGAAGAGAAGTTAATACAATGGATCAGTGGCGGATCCAGCGGGGCGGGTTTTGGGTGTTGAACTACGTGTCAGTCAGTGGCGGACGCACGGGGGGTGTTTTAATATGGCGCATATGTATGTATAATGCCTTCCGTCTATCACAACATGATCGATTTGGTTTCTCGTTTTTCGATCTGGAGACAGCCATGTAGCTTGGTGGATGTTCTTATGCTGGAACCTAGTACTACATATTACCATATTTCGGGCCCCGGCGAAGTCGATCAATGCAAGGAAAGCTTAACGTCGAAAAGCTGCAACCACAACAGACGGCCAATTTATTCGCCACTCGACTCACACACCTGCTC